CCAGTGTCAGCTTGCGTTTCGGGCTGACTGGCCTTGTGTATCCCCGTTGGCATAGGGAGCCTAGTACAGATGCAGAACTTGAGAAAAGGCTGGAGCGTGGCTAGAGGCTTCTGAGTGTGGAGTGTTCCTCTGCTGAGGTCAGGGCAATGGAAGGATGTATCTGTCCAGCAGCCAGGCGGGGGAGCCCCATGGACTTTCCCCAAATACCTAATTGAGCCCAGAGAGTGCTGCCCCTGGCTGGTTCTCCAGGATCTGGAGGGCATAGACCTATAGGGTTGATTTCTTAGCACGTTCTCCTGGAAGACCCCTGGCACTCTGCCCCTATAGACACAAACGGGCTCTGTGGCTCCCCGTGGCAGCCATGTGCACACATGGCCCGGCGGAGCAGTTTTCTCCTTGGTCCCTTTAGTAGCTGTGAGGGCTGAGGGTCAAGAACCTTTCACCCTGTTTGGGGTGCTGATCTTTGGGGCCCCTGCACTCTAGTGTTCGAGATCTCATTATCTCACCATTCTGGAGGGAGGGTGGCACTCCTCCCCCATTACACACACCAAGAAACGGAGGCTGAGGTACGCTGGGAGTCAGAGGGCAGAAGGGCTCCACTCCTGCAGGCCCCATGCTCTGGGCAGCTGGTCTCTACTCTCCTGCCTAAGGACCCCAAGCGCTTGGCAACGTCAGCTCCCTCGACTCATGCTCCCAGGCCCTCAGACAGGCCCCTGCCTCAACCCCTTCAGCAGAGAGAGATGTGGTGCCATCGGGATGAGGGACACTGGCCCAGGCCCCGAAAGAGGAAGGGACAGGTGCTGGATGGCCTGGAAGAGAGGGAGAAGAAGGGATCTACTCCAAAGACTGCCTCCCCTAGAGCTGGGCTGCCTCTCTTCCAGGCTCCTGGGGGCTCTTCCGCCAGGTAGGAAGCCGGTCTGCCAGCCCCCCTTCCCCGCGGCGCCTGCCTGTATGTGGGCCTCACGGTGCCGGGTCTGCGAAGGACAGATGTCTCGATGCAGGGGCTTCAGGCAGGGTGCTGGCTCATGGCGGGAATCCAGCACCGATTCCTACAGAGGACCCAGCGACAGGGTGGGAGAAACTGAGCCCCGCTCTGCCCCTCACACCCAGTCCAGTGCTGTGTGAGGGTCCTCATGCCTTTGTCAGAAATTGGGGAGGGATATCCCCCCACCTCTCGGTGTTACATGACTTACTCATCCGGGGTGGCAGAGTTGGCACAAGAAGGCAAAGACCAGTGCTTCCCCCGGCAACCGTTCCCAGGACCTTGATCCCCCCCCCCCCGCCTTGGTCAAGTCATATCAGACAGTCCTTGGAACCAGGGACCCCTGAGCAGTACAGAGTTAAGATAACAGTCTGGGTTGAAATTCTGGCTCCCCCACTCTGTAACTACAAGACCTTGAGCTTGTTCCTTAATCACTCGGAGCCTCAGTTTTCTCATCTGTCAGATGAGAATAATAATATTCTTCTGTGCCAAGGTTGCGGCGAAGACGTGAGGCAGATGATATGTGTAAACGGCTGAGCGGGGGCCTGGCCCATGCCACGCACAGGAGAGTCGGCAGGTATTCTAGAGGAGGGCAGAATCCTCCAGAGAAAGGAGCCCGGGAGTGAGTGAGCTTGTCAGCGGTGTTCCTGATCCCCAGGCAGCTTTTCAAGTCATGCAGCAGCAAGGCACAGGGAAAGGATAATGTGTTTTTGTTTCTAAACCACAAGCCGATCCCTATCTTTCCTCTTTGGTCCTAGCCCGGGCTCCTTGCCCTAGCTGTAGGTGCTCCGATGTTACAGCAGGCCCCGGCAGCCACAGGCTGGGGAAGAGCCAGGAGGCGCCGCCCGCCCGTGCACCTTCCCAGACAGTGCTGGTTGGCCGGTGCCCGGTGCTGGCGGGGCTCCATGCGCCATTGCCCATGGTGAAATGTCGGTGCTCAGTGTCCCTGTCCAGAGCTCCTGCCCAATGTGTAGCATGATAGCGCATGGACAACGTCCTCGACCTGAAGGCTTCTGCCAGCTGCCAGGGCTCTTCAAAGGAGGGTGTGTCTGATCCCGCTTCCCGTGCCCAGCACAGCACCGCGGGAACAGGCCAGAGGGAAGCACGTGGACGCTGGGGAGACACTGTCCTCCAGGCTGTTCCTGCCACTTCCTGCACTGGTGCTCTGCCCTCTCCTCCTGGACAGGGCTGTTAGGTGTGAATCAGAGGAGGGAAGAGAAGGTGGGGAGTCGCACTCGGGACCTATTCTGCACGTCCCAGACATCCTAATTCACAGAGGTCACCCAACCAGTGCATCTGACCCACCTGTGGATGCAACCAGAATGCAGAAACCCGAGAGGTCCCTGGTCTAGCCTCCTGTCCAGTATGGGAACCTTTTCTCTAGCGTATCTGACTGATAATTATCTGGGGTCTTCAGTGATGGGGGATTCATGACCTCCATAGTCAGTCTTATTTGGGAGTCTCTGACTCTCCCCAAACCCCACTGACATTCCCAAAGGTGGGAGGACCTCAGGGTTCCCTAGACTCATTCCCTACAGGGTGAGGTTGGGACTTGACTAGTAGTCTCTCTGGGATACCCAAGCCTGGATTCAAACCAAATTAAATACCAGTTCACTTCTGATAATATTCTGATGTTCACACTTTATCATAGTTCAACAGCTCAAAAGTACTGCTTGGAGCTGTTGTTTTGATATGTAAGGCATTTATTTGTATGAAAAGAAAAGAATGCATGTGCGCATCTGTGAGTCAGTAAAATATAATTTAGGGTGTTGATTGTAGGTTCAGCGATGTTATGCAGTTCATTCTTGCTTTGGTTCATGGTTCCTTTCAAATCCTCAGCAGCCAATTCCCCCTGCAGACCCCCTCCCCACCCACCAGCAGGACTGGCTTCCCACAGCTAGTACTCCTGTGTCCCTGGGAAACTGACCGGTGGAATCAGGGTATCATTGGCCCCTTTGTCCTTGGCCTCAGCAGGCAGCTTCCTGGGGGCCACAGGAGGTCAAAGGTTGATTACAGTCAGGCCTCAGGTGTTGCCTGAGGAAAGAGAAAGAATCCCCTTGGGAAAGTCACAGAGAGGAGCGGAGACCGAGTAAGGAGAGGAGCTGAGACCTGCGGGTCATTGCCCCAGCTTCCACACCGCCCTCCTGGCTCCCAGGGCCAGCATCTCCCGGCACCACCATGCTTTCCGCAGAGGCCCAGGGCACGGGGGCGTGGAGTGCAGCCAGACAGGGTGCAGGCCTGTTTGGGGCTGGCGAATCCCCACTCACCACCTTAGCTGTGTTTGGCCGGAGTCTAGAATAAACTGTGCATAAGCAATAGAGCCCATGTGCAAATGCTCTATCTGTACATTGCACCACTATATCTAAAGGATCAGTGGACAAAAATGACCTCAATTAATAACTACAGTTTGAGGTGCTCGACAATGACAAACATCTCTGCAGTGCTAGGTCCCCTTGCTGTGACACTGGCAGTGACCTAGCCACTGCTTGGGGGCAGCCATTTGGGGTGTAGATGGACTGAACTTCCAAGCCAGAATCCTCTCAGCGCTCAGCTGGACACGGTCCTTTCTTCGGGCCCAAGTCTAGGACAGCAAGGGTTTTCTCACTTCCTTATTTGGGGAAGACACAGACAGGTGGCCCCTGCCCCTCCCACACAACATTAATACCCAGGAGAAACCGTCCTCCAATCCAGAAGCAGGCACAGGGCAGTCAGGGGTGAGACGCTCTGCATAGCCATCCTGCTTTTAGGCCCGTGCACTGCTGGGGACTAACATGAAATACTACCTATGTAACCAAGCCCCATCCTCTGTTTGGGGGTCCAGGGCTCCTGAAAGCTGTCTTTCCCCCAGAAGTCCCCGACCTAAAGCCAGAGGGGTCTCAGAACGGAGCAAGGTTGGACAAGGAAATTGGAATCTCTTTAATTCCAGCTTTCCTGCGCAAGACAGTGTTGGGGCCTCGTCCAGATGGACAGACAGGCCAAGGTGGCAGGTGGCAGGACTCCAGATGGGGATCCCCAAGGTGTGTGGGTGGGCATCCACAGCCCCTCTAGGATAAGGGAGGATGCAGCCCAGAGCATCTGCAATGCAAATTCCTGAGTTAATTACAGAGAGAGGTGCTCATCGGATAATCCAGGTCAGGCCTCTGTATGGTGGCGGTGGCACAGCAACCGTGGGGCCACTGGCAGGTCACAGCGGACGTGGCTAGGATCGGGCCAAGGCAAAGGGGCCCCACCGAGGAGCTGGCGCGGTGCGCTAGAGGGAAGGGTTGAGCATGGAGGCGCCCCTCAGGCAGAGAGGCTCCTGGCCACTTGCCACGGGCCCTGCACTCCTTGGCGACTTTTCCAGGGCTCTGTGTTCCCCGCAGAGTCCTATCTGGAGCCACACCCTGAAATCAAACTCGGGGCCAGGTGAAGCAGGCGCTGTACCGACATGTAAGCGCGGCCTCCCCTCGCGTTCTGGGCGCCCAGGCCCCTCCCGTGGAGGGTAGGCCCAGCTCCAGCGCCTCTCCGCGTGCTCCGCGCATCCCGCTCGCAGGTGGGTGCCCCAGCCACCCCTGGAAGCTGGCTAAAGCCCCCTGGGCTAGGGCCGGACGAGGGGACAGGTCTCTCTGTACCTGCGGCCCCCTTTCCCCGGGTTCTCATTCCCGAAGTTGAGGGCGCTGGCACCTGCTGGAGGTGTCGGAGCGCAGGGACCAGGGACAGAGAGGTCGGGCGCTGTGAGCAGGACCTGCCTCCTCGAGGTGGCTGAGGGATTCCTGCCCCCTCTGGGCCTTAGAGGCGGGGCCCTGTGGCTGCTCTGGGTCGGAGCGAGGGTGGGAGAAGGGCTGGAAGTGCCCCGCCCACTGCCCCCTCCGCCCTTCCGCCCTGTGGAGAGATCCCGCTGCTCCCCTTGCACCTGAGAGAGTGTCTTAGTGGGGAGGCTGGTATGGGCGGTTTGAATGCTCTGGATTCTGGCCATTCGCAAACTCCTCGGGGACATGTCACATTTGTCACAATGAGTTTCTGATCTGTTTCCACCCAGGCCTCGGAGGACTGGCAGGGAAGGTCCTTAGTCTTCCCTCTCCTGGTGTCTGAGAGCTCTCCTCACTGAAGGGTAAGCAGTCAGGAAGAAGAGGAGACAGGAAGACAGCCTGCCCGAGGTGAGTGAGGGACCCCCAGCCCTGATAGGGTATCCAGGAGCCTTTTAGAGACCAGCATAAGGGACAGTGAGGCCCCCTTGGGCTGGCCCATACTTGGTATGTACTATTAAGCAGCAATGATCCTTTAAAAAAATTGATTTGAGCCCTGGCCAGTTTGGCTCAGTGGTTAGAGCGTTGGCCTGCGGTCCAGAGAGACCCGGGTTCGGTTCCCGCGAAGGGCATGTACCTCGGTTACAGTTTGTCCCCGGCCCTGGTTGGTCGTGTGGGTGGCAGCCACTCGATGTGTCCCTTTCACATTGATGTTTCTCTCTCTCTCATCTTCCTCGCTCTCCCTCCCACTCTATCTGAACAAAAAATGGGGAAATGTCCTCAGGTAAGGATTAAAAAAAAAAATTGATTTGAGAGAAAGAGAAACATCAATCAGTTGCCTCCTACACACACCCCTCAACTAAGGATCAAACCTGCAACCTGGGTATGTGCCCTGACCTGGAATTGAACCAGCAACCCTTCAGTATACAAGACAACATTCAACCAACTGAGCCACACCAGCAGGGTAGCAGTGGTCCCTTTTAGGTGCCATTTCTCAATTCTTAGTGGATATGCATTGTTACTTCCACCGCCTCAGCCCACAGCAGGCTGCTGGGCCTCAAATGCCTGGTCCTGCTCTGTGACCCAACCTCTGCTTGTCATCAGATCTGATGCCTGTCTAGGGCAAGGCAGTGTCACCAAAGCCGTGCACTGAACTCTTGCTTGGGGAAGAGGCTCCCCAACAGGAAGGCAGTAGCAGGCCCAGCGCCCGTGCTGAGCAGGCCAGGACGCAGCCCCAGGCAGAGGTGCTGCTCGGCACATCCCAGCCTGACAGCTGCTCCCCAGGTCTCCAGCCTGCTAAAATCCGTCCAGCTCTTCCGGCACCCAGTGCACAGTATCCAACCTGGGACGTCGCTGCTGCTGGGCACACTAAGGGCTAAGACATAAAGAGTTTGCAGGGAATACACTGTGTTTCTGCATCTTGCCCCATTCTGGCGTTCTTTCGGGCTCTTCGGACTTGTTTTTCTGGGTAGGGGTGTTGAGGGGCTTGGTTCTGTCTGTGCTTAGGTCCTGTGTGGCCAGTGCAGTATCTCCCCATGCTGTGTATAGGACAGGAGCTGAGGACACACTGGGACCACGGACAGCTGAGCTTGAATCCTGACTTTGCCTCTGATTCCTTAGCAAGTTGCTTTACTTCTCTCCAAACTTTAATGTCCTCGGCTGTAAAATGAGGAGGCTCATGCCTTCCTCATAGGATGGTTGTGAGGAGTCCCAGTGAGAAATGAGAACAGCCCAGCAAGGGACCGTGTCTTCTACCTCCACTTGTTAGTGCTGGAAAAGCGGAAGCTACCTGAGCTCTCCTCTCTTGGAGGACTTTGAGAACGGTCTGGATACACGGCAGGAGATTGTGGAGGTTGTTGGAGCAAAGCAGTAGACAGAGGGTCCATGGGGGGTGAGAAGGGAGGTGGCCCGGGGAAGAGGCCATTTCTGGAAAAGGATCTGAATTTGGAAGCAGAAACAGCAGGCCGCTGTTTGTACACGTCGTACGTGGTCATGTGTTCATGGATGACCCTGGTCACAGTTGTTGCCACAGAAGGAGCCTCTGGTTTGAGGCTTTCAGTCCTATTTCTAAGGACTTCTCTGGGCGTGACAGAGAGGCTTGGAGCGTGGAGTTGGAGAGATCTGACTTTGAATCCCAACTCCGCATTTATCATCATCAAACAATTACTTCTCTCTCCAAGCCTCAGTTTCTTCACTTGTAAAACAGAGCTCATAACATCTACCTCGTCGAGTTGTGACCATTCAATCCACTAATAAAAAGCACCCACCCAGCACAGTGCCTGACATACACTGGGTACTTTATACAGGTATATGTGTATATTCCCTTTCGTGTCTCCTCCTTTCCCCCAGCCGCCTGTCATCTTTAAAATGCACCCAGTAAAGCAGGTTTGGCCCAAGTCGCAGTGGTATTGTGAGCATAAAGTGAGGAGATAGACAAAATAGATATAGAAAGTTAAGGGCTGTAAAAACATAACTCTGTGTGTGTGTGTATGTGTTTGGGGTCCTAATCTTGTCAGTAGGGGACCCTAGCGCTTCTTTCTGGCCAGTCCCTGAGAACTCAGGCCTCTGCACGTGGAAGCTGTTGATAATCTGGGCTGGTGCGGAGGTGCCCAGCTGCAGCCTCCCAGGGAGGCCATTCTTCTCTCTTCCCTTAGAGATAATCCCGTGCCCAGGAAGGCACAGTACTGTGGACCCAGGAGGGGCTAGGATTCTAAGTATCGTGAACAGAGTCAGAGGGCTGGGCTGGCCGGAGCTGCCGCTGGACCACAGCGCTGCGTGTGTAGGCTGGAGCTGGGCCTGAGCGGCCAGCCTGAGTCAATATTGACCTTCTCTGGTTGGCCAGCCTGGCGCTTTGGCCTCTTATTCAACTGGAGTGTTGACACAAGTGATTGAATGGGCTTTATTATCATATTCTTTTCAACAACAGTCCCATTATCTCCCCCCTGGGGATTCAGTGGGACCTGCAGTGTGGGAATGGTGACAGGGACTGGGAGCCCAGACATGTGGGCTTGTTATGTGCAGTGCTCCCTGCCCCGAACACACAGCTTCTCTCTCGCCACTGCGGTGGGACAACAGAACCTAAGTTCTGCTCAGCATCCCGGGACACCCCACACTCAGCACAGTGGCCCTGGGCAGGTCTTGTGGAGCCCTCAGGCAATGGTGGCAAGGGCCACCGCCTGGGTCTAGGACCCACCCACACTGCAGGTGACAACTGGGCAGAAAAGCAAATGAAATTCTCTTCAGGCCCTTCCCCTGGTATATTTTTGGGGGCCAGGAAAGTGTGCTGGGGTGCCACTTCTCCTGACTCTCATGTCATGTAAAGAGGGACAGATAGCAGTCCTAGGCCCGATGGAGGCGGAGGACGGACAGAGCTCAGCTCCACACGAAGGGTGGGGAGCAAGGGGACAGAGGGACAGAGGGCAGCACCCTGGGAAGGGGGAGGACCTCCCCATCACCAAGCTCATTTGATCAGAGCACAAACGGGACAGGCTTCCGCTGGGAATGCCACAGTGTGGGCGGGGACAGAGGGGAGGCCGGACCCCATGAGCGAGTCCCCAGGGTGTCCATTACCATCTCTTCTGGTGGGTGGTGAGCTCAGGAGGGTGTCTATCAGCATCTATTTGGAAAAGCAAGCTAAGCTGCAGGAAAGCAAGGCTTCTGTTTTGTTCACTGTGGTCCCAGAGCCCAGAGCAGGGTAGATGCACAATAAGTACTTTTTTTTTTTAATCCTCACCTGAGGATATTCTTCCATTTATCTTCAGATAGAGGGGGAGGGAGAGAGAGGGAGAAACATCGATGTGAGAGGGACACATCGACTGGTGGCCTCCTGACGACCCCAACCACGGCCAGGGACGAACCACAACTGAGGTACATGCCCTTGACTGGAATCTGAACCTGCGACTCGTTGTCCGTGGGCCAATACTCCAACCACTGGGCCAAACCCAAACCAGCCAGGGCTACACGAAATACTTTGGAATAAATGAATGAATAATATAATTATTATATTTAAACAAACCCCAGAAAGTAAAGTTTGAGAAAAATCTTCTGGCCAATGAGAATATTCTGACGGGAGGCTGGCTGCGGTCCACGCTGTTCTCAGCCAGGGGCCTAGAGGCACACGGCTCTTCAGGAAGGGTGTGCGGGGTGCCAGTCCCCAAGGAGGTGTGCAGAGGTTGGGCAGCCTGACTGCAGGGGACAGGTGGGGGAGCCCAGCTCTGGAGGTGACAGGGTCCTCTGTGGGTCACTGTGACTGGATGGTGGCAGTAGTAGGGGTACCTCATTGCTCTAGAACTCAGGGTCATACCTCTGCCTCGGGGCCATAATTCTAGAATAGTTCCTTCCCCAGAGCAGCACCTTGGGTGGGCCTGGGAACTACGCAGTGTGGGTGGGGGGAGGTGACAGCCGACTGCAGCCGTGTTCCATCAGGATCTGGGTCAGATAGACGTGGCTCTGCCCCTTCTTCTTGCTTGACTGGGCAAATCGTTAGTCTCTCTGAACACTGGTTTCCTCATCTGTATAATGGGACAATAACAGCCTTACCTCACAGGCTCATGGCGAGGAGATTTTGTATGTGAGACGCTCAGCCCACAACCTGGTGCTTACTCTAGGCACCTCCTGAGTTACTGAAAACACCCAAATTGGACCCTCGAGCTAGAACAGATGCTGTTTCTCTCCTCGCTGTTCTTGGAGAAGCTGCAGAGGCAAAGGAGTCCTTTCCCTGGTCACCACCTAAAATGCTGAGGCCTAGAAAGGAGAGTAGGCCAAGGCCACAAGCCGGAATGTAGGAACCCCGCTCCCTGGGGCCACACTGAGCCAGAGCTCAGATCTGAAGGCCCTGAGCCTCCCGGAGAGGAAGCTGTGGTGTGCCCCCGACTCTCACTCACTGACCTCAAAGCAGGGCCGGGGTGCAGCTGCCTCCTGTCTTCCAGTCACTGGGCTTCATTCCTAACAGACAGTCAACCGACATCCCAGAACTTGACCTGCCAAGCCCCGCCCCCTCAGAGGCTGCAGGCTCCTCTGGACTTGCTCTCTGCAAGCTGCCTCCTGGCCCGCAGTGCTTTCTAATGAACCCCTCCGCGGGCTGTGTCCTTTCCTTGAAAGGGTTCTGATGTGTGGAAATAACGAAACCCACCGGAAGCCAGGCCTGCCTGGAGGGTGAGGTGGGTGACCTGTCAGACACTGTCACTTCCAGTAAGAGCAGAGATAACAGGTTAGGAGAACAGTTGATGCTGACTCAAGATAGGCCCCAGAGGTAATTTCCAAAGAGGGTTTCTGGAAGTACTGGAGCACGCTTAGAACAGTTAGTCACTCCCAAGGCTCCGCCTCGAAGGGCAGCACTCATTTCAATGTCTGAGCTCTGGTCTGAGGTTTCCATGCAGACTCATTTCTCTATAGCCCTGTCTCGGGTTTGC